CTTCGTGAAGTCCTTTACGGAATGCCTAATTAATGATGCAAAGTGTAAATTTATTGGTGCTTTCGTTGACCCAAACACTTAATATGTCGTCGGCGATGAGGCAGTTGTGTAGCATGAAAAAATAAATAATTTTTTTAAATCAGATTTATTAAAATATGATAATTAAAAATTTTACTCAAATTTTTAAATAAATTTTTTTTAAAACTATTATAAATTTTTTTTTTTTGGAACGGGGTATATACCTGCAGCTACTTCAAAGGGAGCGCTTATTCCCTCGGCGGAAGCTAGCGAAGCCACCCACCAGCATCGGACCCACACTTGCTTTGCCTCACTGAAGAGATGAGGTCGCAGTAAAAGGGATTCAAACTCGGGATGGGAGGTTCCCAACCTTGCTCGCCCACCAACCACCCTAAGCCTCGATGGTTAACTATTATTAAGTTAATTGACCCATAGAAGATACCATCCATAAGCTTCCCATTTAACAAATGTATATACTCGTTGCACATCTGAGTATTCTCATCTATGCAACAATTAACTTAATTTTGTGTACTTTTAATGGCCAACATTCTGCTCCATAATGTATTTCATGTCTGACCGCTATCTTATAGAATTTTTTCTTAAGTTTGAGGGTTATTTTTCTATCAGACAATATGCTCGATGTATTACTCTACTTCAATCATCAAACTTGAATTCTACAAATAATATTCCTATTTTTTTCACCTTCACTGTGAACAATAGACCCAAAATATGTAAAACGTGTACAATCCTCTGATTATATATATTCCTACTTGTTGTGGACTAGAATATACGCGGCGATAGAGTTTTAATTGTTCGTCTTAGCGTTATACGGATATCTAGTTCACAAACAGAGAACACAAGATTTTTTACGTGGAAAACCCTTAAAAGGGGAAAAACCACGGGGCCTAGCCCAGTTGAAAAGATTTCACTAGAACTTGAGTTGGTTACAATGGGCTGATTCATCTCTAAGGACGATCAGATTACAGGTAACAACTGTATAATTGAAGTCCGAGTGTCGAGTAATGGTCTGGCAGGACTTCAGGCCTTAGGTGATGATAAGGCAAAAACTTCGGGCCTTAGATGAAGGTCTAGAAAATGTGAGAATCTTCAATGATGGCCTGACAAAGATGAGAGCTTCAAGTGAAAGACTGACAGAACGTAGAGCGTCAGGTGATGATCCGGTGGAATGACGGTGTTAGTTGATGATCCGGAAGAGCACAGGGCTTCTGGTAGTGGTCCGATGAAGTGACGGCGTTAGGTGATGGTCCGGTGGAGCACAGGGCGTCAGGTGATGGTTCGGCTGAGTGACGGCGTTAAGAGGTGGTCCGGTGGAACACGGGGCGTCAGGTGGTGGTTCGGCGGAGTGACGGCGTTAAGCGGTGGTCCGGTGGAGCATAGGGCGTCAGGTGGTGGTCCGGCGGAGTGACGACGTTAAGCGGTGGTCAGGTGGAGCACAGGGCGTCAGGTGGTGGTCCGGCGGAGTGACGGCGTTAGGTGGTGGTCCGGTGGAG